TGGAATCCTTCCGATATCGACAGGCGACGAATAGCTCCTTTAGCGAGAAGTTGGTGAATCTCGTCTAACAGTACCAAAGAAGTCAGAGTATATCGAATAGGATTCAGTGATGGTACAACGTCAAATTCGATTCCATATCCGTGCTGGATGATAGATAACACCCATCCATCAGATGTGATGGACTCCCAAATGGAGAGTCGACTCTTCAGTCGATCCCCAAATGAGGGGGGGGGGTTGGAATGAGAGGAGAGGCTCGCTCGTCACATCAGCGCTGTCGCCTGTCCGTATCAAAACGGCGGCAGCCCTGTTGGAAGCGCTGTGGCGGTTGTTGCCTGCGACGCTGCTGACGTTGATGTGGTTGCTGCTGCCGAGGCGGAAACTGTTGACGGTATTGTGGACGTGACCATGACCACTTACGTCGGGGTAGAGGTTGCAATTCCATACGACAAGTGGTCATCCTTGATTCATGGATTTTCTTCAATTTGCTGTCCGTCCTTGCATGGAAGAGGCCGGAACCATCGAACGGCATCTCTTCAATTCTCCACTTCATCTCGTCAGGAAAATTGCAATTACGCAAACAGGCGTGCCTGCGGAGGGAAACTGCACCGACCAGTGACCTCGAATCAGAGTCCACGTGGTGCCTCGCAGTAGAAAGCTGTTGCACCGCCACTTGCATAGCTTCCTTAACAAAAGTCTTAGCAAGTTCGCCCTGGTTTCCTGGAAAAGTATTGATGATAGCGTCCAGGCGTTGCATCAGGAAATATTGGTAATGCGCCAGGGTTGCCTCGTAATTGGAGATTCTTAAACCAAGGCCCGAAGCTGCGTATACCCGGCGGGCGAGAGAATCAACCTTTCTACCCTCTTTGTCACGAGGTGAGGTGTGTCCACGGGCTTCCCGACCCTGCGAGGATTCTACAACAACCGAATTCGGCTTGGGGTGGCGGAGAAGAAATGGGATGTGCTCTTCCCGCACCCAATACATGGACTCGTATTTACGAGAGGTCGGTTGTGGATTAGCTGGGAGGTCCCATGGCTGGGTCACTGCCTGCCGTAAGGTCGTAATAAATGGCGAGGCAATAGATGTGGATCGTTCACCTCTAACCACATCATAAAAACAATTGGTGCTCGGTCCCGGCTGTTGGTGGGCTTCTATATCGAGCGATCTCACTAGTCTGGCCATCAGATCGTTAAACGATATGTACGGTTCCTCAGGCGACCCCGGACCCTGGGAAGCAACTACAACATCCGGAGAGATTGAGTCAGCCTCAGACTCTTCAGATTCCATCCAGTAGGGGGGCGGCATACTGGAGGAAGAATCTCCTGGAGACTCCGATCTGCCACTCTCTCTAGATGGTGCCCTTGGGGCGTCTCTGGGCGTTGAATGGAAATGCTGCCGAGGCGCTGATGGTGAAGATTGTCCCCTAGAAGTTGGATAGTAGGCTGTAGAGTGGTACTCTTCCCATCTCGGAGCAGAGGAGTACCTGGAGTGGTACCAATCATCAGACCTCGCATCCGACGAACGGCTTCTACGACTTCTCGGAGGGGAGATGGCGATCTCAGTATCCATCGGGATCGGGGGCATCGGGGTTGGTGATCGAGCCCTAGGTGGGGAGTCTCGTATTTCCCCATCAGAGACAGAACCCCTCCTCGAATCCATAACGGGTTTGGTTGGCTGGCGGCCGGTGTGGTAAACCCGGTGGGGTAGCCCTCATAGCTGCCTGGATGGTCGGGACCAAGGGGGTTGGTTCCGAAGTAGGTATCGGAATCGAGGAAGAGGCCGAGCCCGAGTGACTGTGTTTTGCCTGCTCGGGGTTCTTCGGCTTCTTAACCGGTTTGCCCGTTTTATCTTTCTTGGCCTTCTTCTGCACAGGATATTTATCTGAGTCGCCGTGCTTTCTCTTTTCCTTTTGCTTCTTCGGCAAGGAAACAGACTGATCGGCCATAGCATGAGCGCCTTCTTCAGAAAGGCATGAGGGTGGAGCAATGGAGGAAGAGGCCGAGTGTTGCGGCAGGTCAGCCGAAGTTGGACGGCCTTTGGATGGGGCCACAACAGTGGAAGGCTTAGCCACCAGCCGATCAGATTGGAGGAGAGCCTGATCCCAAAGGAGTTTGCGGAGGCGGTTCTCCCTGTTCTTCCTCGCCTGTTTAGAGAAGGCCAAACAATGGCCACACTTATCGGTTCTGTGTCCTTCCCCCAAACAAAGGAGGCACAGATCATGCGGGTCCACGGTGGGCATTTTGGAACCGCATTTTCCGCACTTGCGGAACGCCGCCCGTTGCGCCATCGTAGAAAGAAGAAAAAAAGGAGATAGTAAGGCGGGAAAGTAATATTTTTGGGTTTTTTTTTTCATATAGGAACGATAAAGAAGAAAAAATAGTGCAAAGTTAAAGAAATATAAGTGAAATAATAACAACAAGAACAAGGTAAGAGAAAAGAGATTTTTGAACGAGCAAGAAGGTAAATAACAATCTGAGCGAGAGCGAAGCGGCACTAGGTACAATGAACGGCGGTCGCAAAGACTGGAAAATGGCGGACACTCCGCTCCTTATATAATGCTGGGGGGGAGGGGGAGCGGAGTTCCTGCCAAAAACCGTTAGCTGTTAATCTTCCGGCCAGAGGCACTGCGCAGGCGCAGAACCCATATGTGTGATGCACAGAGGCCACGACGAAGAAACAGTATCTATAGAGGATGATGGAGAGTACCCATTTCTCTGAGGTGATCTAAGACCAAGCATGGAAAAATGGCTTCAGTGTATGACAGAAGGAGAGGAGTCAACAGGGTGAGAGGGGAGTCACTGTTGCCTTCTGTGTTCCTCTGGGCATAGGCAACCCTGATGCAGATGAGCCCTGGGAGGTTGAGGTATATGGCCCAGGCTCTGAGTGTGTAGGGCTGAGAAGAGTCGCACATGCATGATCAGGCAATGCAGTTCTCAGTGGTCTGCAGCAAGGCAACAGAGGGTATTGAACCAATGTATGCCTTGGCTCCTGTGATGGGTTGGGCAGTGGGTCAGGTGCTGAGGGATCGGTAAGGGTGGAGAATCTACCAGATCTAGTTGGACTTCAGTGTTGTCAGTTATGTCTGGACACAAAGGATGTTCAGTGCTCTATTGCTGTGAGGTCTGAAGGGGGCAGCATGCCACATTTCATGGAGCATTTGCAGCCATTTTTGTCTTTTGCTGAACCAGGTGTTTTTGGTGCTTTAGCCTTTTTTGTTTAGCCTTTCTAAGCTTAAGCTTTTTTGTAGAGATTAGTTCAGTTTGGGCAGCACCAGAGGTCTCCAATGGAGGAGTGAGCGCTGTTAATCAGTGGACAGCTGAGGGGAAGCAAGCTTTTAAGTGGTTGAATCAAGCTTTCTGGTCTGCTTGGTAAAGGTTTTGCTGTGGGAGAAAGAGTTGATGACATGCACCTCCCAGAGGCAAAACAGGCATGGCAAGTGGCTGTCGGTGGTTGGCAATCTTCTGCTGCACTGTGCACAGCCTCAAAACAGGACCTTGAGAGTCGTTCTGGCAAATGAGGTAAAAGGTAAAGAGAAGAATTGGGAAGAGGAAGATAAAACGGGGAAGGTTGTCTTTATGTAACTTACTAAAGAAACTAGTGTTGGCTCTAATGCCAAATCTTCATGTATTTTTTCCTTTTTTTGTAGAAGTCAAGTGAAGAAAAGGAGGAACTGGAAAAACTGGGTAAGAGAGCAGAGGAAGAACTTACCAATGTGTTCACAATGGTGGTCAAAGAACTGGGGCCTTGGTGGGAGCCCTTCTCTGCATGCCAGTGTGCCCAGGGGCAGGGTTCCTGACAAGTACTAATTAATCAGCTTTGGAAACTTCCTAAATGAACTTCATGTGTGTGATGCACAGGCACCACAAAGGACAACTGCCAAGATCTTACTTCTGTTATACAAATCCTTGGTATGACCCTACTTAGCATATTGTGTCCAGTTCTGGGTCACCTTACTTGAATAGGGACAATACTGAATTGGAAAACATACAAAGAAGGGTATGGAAATGATTAAGAGGCTGGAGCATTGTCTGTATAAGAGGCTGCAATAACTGGGACTGTTCAGCTTAGAGAAAAGGTGGGTAAGAGGAGACACAATAGGAGTATTTTAAATAATGCACAAAGTGAAGAAAATGGAGAGGGAATATTCTTCTCCCTTTCCCATAATGCCTGAACCCAGGGTCATTCCATGAAGCTGACTTGGGTTAAGTTTAGGACAGACAAGAGGAAGTACTTCTTCACACAATATATAGTTGAACTATGGAACCTGCTGCCATGCAAAGTAGTAATGGCTACCTATCTGGATGCTGGCTATCTCTACTTGGATTGGACAGATTTGTGATGGCAGAGCTACTAGCTCTGCTGGCTATGTGCTACCACCTTCACCAGAGGTGGCATGCCTGCATACAGCAGTTGCTGAGGAGCTTGGGCAGGAGGAGGTCTTGCACCTATTCTGCTTGAACAACCCCATGAGCAGCTGGTTTGTACCATTTGTATGAAGTGCTAAACTAGATGGACCCTTGGTTTGATCCAGCATGGCTTTTATGTTTTTAAAGTATGCTATAGCCATTCTTACATGGAAAATGCTGTGCAGTTCTTTGGATCCAAGCCACAGAAGCCTGACCCTTTTGCTACAATTATGCTCATTTATATGACTCTGTTTCCCTCCTGCCTGGACATAGCTCCACCTGAGAGCCACCCTCCCTCCTGTTACCAACTGCCATTGCTGAGGATGTTAAAGAAAAAGAAATCAGTAGCCTTTTCATTATATTCATAGCCTGCAAAATTTTGGTAGTCAGAAACTAGTAATTGAATTTGCTTTCTTCTTTCCCCATTTCCCTTCCTATCCTTTTCTGTTGTGACTTTTAGACTGTAGGTCTGTGGTTAGGGACTGCCTTCTTTCTTATTCTAACCTTTGGCTAAAAGCGGGTAAAGATACTGTAAATAAATGAGTAAATGTTTTTAAAAGGAAGGGGGAAAAGAAAGCTAGAATAAAATAAATTACCTTTTTTGTAGAACAATGATAGAGAAGTAGATTTGTATGATTTTTGAGACTGATTGACCAATGTAGACTGTGTCTCTGGAAAGGAATATACTGAACTGGAAGAAACTTTTTTCTTGGGAGATTTTATAGGAGAGAGATACCTAGAAAAACAAACAAAGTAGTTCAACAGAAAATACAAATAACCATCATTTTCAGATCAAGTCAGACTTCTACCCACAAATAGTTGTTTCAAAATTTCTTTAAGAATTCACCTTCCCAAATGAAAGGATTTCTGTTCATCAACTGCATTCCATTCTGAAAAAAATTATGGATAGTCAACAGTACTACATGCCCAGCTTGAAGTCAGTGAACACCTACTCACTGACTGGAAGGACTTTCTTCAGCTGCAACATACTGTGGATTTCATCTGGAGGGCTGTCACTACATGTTGCTGGCACAGCCTGGAGGCCATCACGATGAGTGGTTCAAGATATACTGCCACCATGGCAGAGTCTGTGCACACCCCAATAAAGAGGATACACTGGGAGAGGGAGGAAATATTTTTTTTCAGTATTAAGGAAGAGACACTGTCCAACAAAATGATATGTGGAAATTGTATTGAGCAACTTGGTCTTGGTTGATGCCACCAGAAGCTGGTTGTTCATGTATGAGTATGCCTGGACTTCTTTCCAATATAAGTGAACACACACCACAGAAAAGCATTTTGTAATGCTTGGGAGTGCTAAAAATTTTAAAATATGAAACAGAAAAATGGAAGATCTATTTCCAGATCTGAAAATGACAGAAATACGTGTAGGGTGGTGCTATAAAGATATGAAAATAGGCATGTTTTATAATCCGCCAATGCAAGTCACTCTCCTTGACAGAAAAGGATGCCCTGTGAAGTGACCATCCAGAACTTTTCTGTCAAAATAAAGGAGTTAAGGTCTTTAAGACCAAAGGCCTCTTTCCTGCTTAACGTACTGTGAAATAGCATGAGAAAAACCCACAACAGATGGAGGGAGTGGGAATTTACTCAATGGTTCTCTTTGATAAGAGAGTGCATATCTCATCCATTAAGATGGAAGATGGAGATGTTTCATGTCTGGTAGTGATGGGCAAGAGAATGCTGAACACAATCGTGTAAGCTCGTGCAAGTATTACTGACAACACCCAGGTGCCAGGGTGATCGCTTCCCAGGTTGGTAGGAAGGGAAACAGCCAATCCTTAAAATCAACAAACATGTATAGAGAAGGAGGTAACGGCCAGCCCAGGATTCTAGTCAACACCTCTGTTCATTTTCTGTCCATGCATTTCTGTTCCAGGCTGTAGTGGGATGGAACATCCTTTCACTTCTGGAACAGACACAAAGTTTGGTGGGACACTTTGTCCTTACGGGTCTGGGGGAAAACAGAAGAGGAACTGGGCCCAAACCACTTACATGGGTGTTGGAAGAAACCCATCTTCTTCACATTACTCTCCAACTTGTATATTGAGTCCATGCACTAGTTGATCCTCCTGTTGAAGAGCTCATCTCTGCCAAAGGTCAGGTCTTCAATACAGGAAAGACCAGACAAATGCAGCCAGATGTGCCTCCTTAATGTGACTGTACCAATTATGGTTTTTGCACCACACTCTGCCTTCTTGCTACCATTTCTGTATTGATCCGAGAGAGGTACACAGCTTCTCTCTGAAACACTCTTGCAAGGTCCTTCAGCTGCTCAAGTCACAAAGGAATCCAGCTTCTCCCAAAGGAAAAGTTTGTACCTTGCTATGCTAGCTTGATAGTTGGAGATGTTAAGCTCCAGAGCTATAGAAACATAAATGCTCCTCCCCAGAGTGTGCAAGTACCATCCCTCATCATTGGAGGGTGTGGAATGTTGTTGACATGACCTCCCCTGTGCTGATTCCATGACCACTGAGTTCAAGTTTTGGGTGCTGAAAAGGAAGGGTTCCACTGCTTGGCCTAAGAACTCTCCACTTTGTTTTAATCAAGGGGGTCCATTGGCAGTGGACACTCGCTGCTCTAGTGCTCTCACCTTTTCTTCCAAAAGGGCTTGTACAAGCTTGCACTTGTACAAAGACAGTTCTGAAAATGTGGAAAGAAGCATGAAACAGAGCATCATTCCAAGCATCCACATACAGCATGGACCAACTCCTTATGAAGAAGGGTCCAGCATCTGAGCACACATTTGTACACTCCTCCGCCAACAAGGAGATGGGTATAGCATTTATTTCCTAGTTCAGCCTGGGTATGAGGCAACATCAAGCAGAGTGTCTCAGGAAAGATGCTCTTCCTGCAACAGAAGTAGCTTGCAAAATGGGCATGGGATTTTGCGGATCTGGCTGGAAAACCCATTTCAACACATGGTTGACTCTTCCTTGATGGAAAGCATCTCTGCAATGGCATGCACTGTAATGGCAAGTATGTCTGGATATCCACTGGCAACTGTCATTTACAAGCCTCCTCTCCTTCCACCTCAATTCTCACGATGCTGCTGTACTTGGGGAGCAATATGGTGGGGGGTTAAAGTAGGAGGAAGGACTGGTATGTTCGGGGATTATAATGTTAAAAGCTTCTGAGAGTGCCTCGAGTACTGAAGTGAGGGCAGCAGATTGATATGGAAGAGGGAATAGGCAGATGGACAATAGGAGGGGAGAAGCAACAGATTACATACGAAAAGCACTGCACAGCAAACACACTGCACTTCAAAATCCTCACAACAGTGGGAAAAATGCATATACAGTAGCCATAGTGATGGGGCCAATGTTGCCTCTAAAACAAGGACTCCACTCTGCTCATGAGAGTGAGAGTGCAGAGAAGATAATGGCCGATACGCCATCAGTCTTCCCAACTCAAATACCTGCATACCTATGCTGAAGGAGGCAAATTGGAATATTCAAGCAGAAGTAGGGGGAGGAAAAAAGAAAACAGCAGCACACTTTCAGGCAGAAAGGGGCAGATAGATGGCCCCAGTGTCCTCAGGCTCACCTACTTTTATGCCACATATATATATCAATGTATAAGTTTTCAGATTCTTCCCCTATGGCATGAGATGCAAGCTTGGTGCTCCCCTCCCTCCCTATTAGAAAAAACTGAGAGCTGGACTGCCCCACACCACCTGCATTTCCATAAGCCAAAAAAGAATATATTGCTGCAAATTTACCAGAAGGCATGGCTTTGGTATTAGCACAATTACCCCCTTATGCTAGGCAGACAGGTAACGCAGAGCAGAACAGGAATGTACGGGAGCAAAGAGCTATGGGAAGGGTTGCTCAGTTGTAATGGGTGCTGCCACTATCTATGGGTGCCCCAAGCCTTAATCAGGAACTTGAGGGTCCTCCTTAGCTCTTTGCTGCTGGAGCACCTGCCATTTCCAGTTCACCCTTTCTTCCTTGATCTGTGGAGCTTCTCCCAAAGTTAACTTTGTACTTTCTGCAGGGTACTGTGAGGCAACCAGTTATTCAAGGTTGTGCTGCTGTGAAAAGATGGGTGAAAGGAAAGGACATATGGAAAGGCTGCCAGGCTACTGAATCTGATAAAAGTAGCAGGTTAAACTTGGTGTTGCTGAGTGGGTGGCATTCGTGGTGGTGACAGCACCAAGAAAGGCTACAACAGTGTGATCGGGCGTGCGCAGTGCGCGACAGGGCGGGACTCGGAGGTGCCCTGCGGCCACAAAGCAGCGGCCGCGGCCAGGAGGGAACGGCCCCTCGGGCAGGAAACACCGATCCCGCGCTGCAAGAAAGACTTCCGCCCACCTCCAGCAGAACGCCGCTACATCACGCTGGAGAAAAGAGCCGCCGCCACGTGCAAGCAGATGCAAGCAGACGCGCGCTGCCACGATGTCGACGGAAGCCAGCTCCAGCGGCCAGCGCAGGCACACGTGGCGCCGGAGCGCATTGCCCGCCGCCCCAGGTGATCAGTGCTTTGAGTCATCCCTGGCCATGTCGACGTTTATATATCCTGGGGAACACACGGGCGCTGCCATTGGCGTGGTCACGGGCAATGGTCGTTACAGCAATAGGGGCTTAACGTGTCATGTAGAAGAAGGATGGACAGATGGCTGACACCTATCCCTCCTTCTGGTTCTGCCCCCAACCAGAGGGCGCCAGGTAGCCTTGTCAACCACCACTCAGGCCTGACGGTGCTGCTGCTCAATGCCAGGTCGGTCAATAATAAATCTTCCCTCATCCATGACTTGATTGTGGATGAGGGGGCTGACCTGGCTTGCATAACGGAGACCTGGGCGGGAGAGGGAGGGGATGTTGCCCTCTCCCAATTGTGCCCGCCCGGGTATCTGGTTCAACACTGTTCACGCCCAGAAGGGAGGGGAGGGGGAGTCGCGTTGGTTTACCGAGCCTCCATCTCTCTCACGGGTCTTCCGGTCCCTTTGAGACCAGGGCTGGAGTGTCTCTACTTGGTGTTGGGCGAACGAGACAGATTGGGGATTCTATTGGTGTACCGTGCACCCTTCTGCCCAGCAGTCTCCCTATCTGAGCTGACAGAGACTGTCTCGGACCTGGTGTTGAGGACCCCCAGGATGTTGGTCCTGGGGGATTTCAATCTCCATGCCGAGTCTGGACTGACCGGGGCGGCTCAGGACTTCATGGCCTCCATGACAGCCATGGGGCTGTCTCAACACGTCATCGGCCCGACCTATGAACGTGGACACACTCTGGACCTGGTTTTCTCGACGGGGCAGGAAGAGGATGACCTGAGGGTGAGGAACTTATGTTTGACTCCCCTGTCATGGTCAGATCACCTCCTGGTGAGGTTTGTGCTCGAGAGCGGCCTCTCCCTCTATAAGAGTGCGGACCCGATTGTATGGGCCCGCCCCTGGAGCCGGATGGATCCGGATGGATTCCTAAAGGCCCTGGGGGAGTTTCCGGCTGACAAGACTGGTGCTCCTGTCGAGGCTCTGGTCGAACTGTGGAACGGAGAGATGACCAGGGCTGTGGACACGATCACTCCTAAGCATCCTCTCCCACTGGGCAGAGTCCTCTCTTCCCCTTGGTATACACCTGAATTGTGGGCGATGAAGCAGGTTGGGAGACAACTAGAGCGTAGGTGGAGGAAATCACGGGATGAATCTGACCGAACACACTTGAGAGCCCACTATCAGGCCTATGCTGTGGCGGTGAAGGCAGCGAAAAAGAAGTT